ACCAGAATCATGGAACGAATTAAGTTCGTGAACTGAGGTACCACTGTATAATATTTACATCTGATTGAAAAAAAGTCTTAACTGTTGCAAAATGAACTTTGGTTATTGTTGATGACTGACATTATAATCTATACATCAGGGGTTCTCAGTGGATCATGACTTTCCAAGTGATCATGAGTAACTTAGAAGGGGTTCAATAAATGTTTAAAATGTTACTTCAGATGTAGTTGTTGACAAGCATTTTTGTTCCCAGAAAGAAACAGTTTTAGTATCTTATTTGTTGGGAAATGCTTCTGCTGAGAGATGAAGCTCAACATTTAGAAGTAATCCAAAACGGTGATAGCATTCTATCATTTTTTTAAATTGATTTATAGATTAAAATTCAATTGTTAAAAGATGTATATTTATTTCTTTCCCAATTTTAACCCAATGAAAATATTAGTTTTATTCATGAAGGGTCATACAAATTTATTTCTAGTTTAGGAGGTTATAGTATCACCAAATCTGATGACCTCTGAAATATGTATTTTATAAACATATGTAAGTCACAGAGACTATACCAACAAGCACTGTTTACAATTTGCCATGTCATGATTGTTCCCTAAATTTTAACTTTCCCTGCTCTCATAATTACATTGCAAAAATGTAGCCGCTTATACATAGATCATAGGTATTACCAAATTTCTTCCATGAATTCTCAAAATATAAATCAAGGCAAAAAGCCTTTCATTTAATAATTATACATTATAATATATTAAATGCATCCACGATGAAATACTGAAAATACTTAATTTTCGTGTGTTTACTTTTTTACAAATCCAATTTTCAGAAATAATATTTATCTTCTGAAAGTTGCATGCAATGTATTTTTTTATCTTTCTGATACCCGTTCAAATTAGGACAATAATATGATTATTAATTAAATACATAAACTATATGAATAATAATAAAATATTTTGTATAGCAAAATTATAATTTTTTGGTTTTACCACATTATTATTAAGTCATTTTAAAAAACTAGACAAAAGGTGTCATTCGTTAACTTTGTAAGAACTAGATTAATAGGAATTAACATTTTATTGTAATATGACTCTTCACCTTATTTTGATATTATCAAGGTATATACATAATATAACAAACCTAAAACCTATATTAATGTATGCCACTCTAGCCTGTAGTTTATATTTGTTAGTGAAGTCAAATGTCTGATTGGGACCTGTAAAAACTGAAAATAGACAAGATATGTTTTAATCAAGGAATAAATAAAAGAATTATTTCTAACAAAATGTATGTTGTGGATTCTTCTCTGTTCTTTATCAAACTGTATGAAATTTTTTCCACTATTCTAACTTATAAAAATTCTGAAATTACTGATTCATAATTCTTTAGATCACTTATACCAGCAGCAGAATATCTATACTGGTCCACATATTAATGGGCAAAAGATTTAGTAAAAATAATGACTCGAAAAAGTATATAAATAAATAGTCTGGAACTGACTAACACAGAGCACGGAATACCATCAAAAAACCTAATGTACAATACATAATACCCACACATACAGCATAGAATATATACTCAGAACAGAACAGAAACTTTGATTTAGTCATCTGACCATATCAAAAGTATAAAACCAATACAAGTATGCAAGTAAATACAAAGAAAACAGTAGAACAAATTCATAGTAAGTAATCACCCCTACAGTAACCCCAATCTGATCTAAATAGTCTGTCCTCTTCAAAATTGCCTCTGATATAAAGAATGCAGTCTTACTAGTGATATGCAGGTTCGTCCCCTGCAAAAAGTAAGACAATTTCTCCTGGGTACCCCAGTATTTTTTAGTTTTTAAATAGAATCTAAGTAAACAGACCTTTCTGTTGAATATAGTTTGAAATTAAAGAGGATATGTGTGATGTCTTCAACAGCTGGTGCACCACAGATACACAGTGAATATATACTCAATTGCAACAATAATTAATATCTAAATGTTTACTATGATAATTGAAATATATTTCAATTAATACTTACCTCTTTTCTGAACCCAGCCTTCTTTCACAATTGTAACATCGCTCATGATGGCTCCACTGAGCCTTCAGATTAAAGAATTAATATTTTGCAGTATTGCTTTCCTTTATTCTTCTGACTTTCCAATATCTTAAAGCAGCCTGAAAGTATAAATAAACAAAAATTAACTCTCCTGATATTGCACTGCTTAATACCCAACCTTCCTATTTAACTATAAATGTTGGCCATTTTCCCACAAAATAGTACTGAAAGCAGTTTATAAAAACTGTGAAATATGTAAATACCATTTAAGACATAGCAATAATAACAATAACAAAACTGTCTTAAAAGCACAGATAAACGATAAAAATTTTACCTAGCACCTAGATAGTAACAACGGTATAAAGAAAATTTGCCTGGGCAACAAGAAAAAAAAAATAGTTTTGTCACCCATTTCATCAATAAACTACAGTAGCTGGTACATATACTTTTAAATGTTAACAAGTTGCCTCTATCAATTCTTCAATATTGCTGTGTTGACATTGGTTCTGCTGGACCATGTGCAGAACAAGAGTCTTGTTACAACTGAAAAAAATGTAATTGATTGTTTTATCTAGTGATGGACAGCTTATGAAATATGTGCAGATTTCTAAAATTGCCCTACGGATATCCAGTGGCAAATCAGCCCATTTTCAGTTATGTGATTTTTAACTTCCCTTTAAAACAAACGAACAAAAAAAAAAAAATCAGCAAGAATGGGTTTGACTGTGGGAGATCTTTGGGAAGCAAATCACTCTCATTTCCAGCCTCAAAAATCCTCGACCCCCTGCAAAACTGCCTGAAACCACACCACTGAAATTATCTTATTTTACACTAAATTTCAACAGGAGAATTTTGGACTATTTTTCAACATCTCAGATGAGGAATAAGGAGCAATTTGTCTTGCCGAGACCAGCCTCCCCAAGCCCCAAAAAACCCCCCCACCAAAAATTTGCCTTGCCCCTTCCAGTGATCATTTGGTCACCAGAAACCTTGCTGGGATCCTCTAGAATGTCAAGAAGCTAAGATGTGGCCTGCCTGCTCAAAGCTTGCCCATCACTCAATTAGTCAGTTAAAAACCTTGTACCCTGCTTCACTGTCAGCAGATCATTTTTTTCATGCACGGGTAGTCCTCGCTTACCAACCACAATTGTGATCGGCAACTCCTTCACTAAGCGCCACAGTAGCTAAGCGAAAAATCATGTGACCACACCAGATGTACGATGTCACTTCTGCTTCTGTTGTTAAACGAATCACTGTGGTCATTAAGCAAGACATCATGTGACCGCAACTTGCAATTTCACTTCCGCATCCTGCATTAATTCTGCTTGTTGAAAACTGGTTGTGAAACTCGCAAATGGCAATCACGTGACAGTGGGATGCTGTGTGCGCTGGTTGCAATGCTCCTGAATGGTGATCACATGACTGCAGGATGCTGCAACAGCCGTAAATGCAAGGAATGGTGGCAAAGCTTTCTTTTCAACCATTGTAACTTCAAACAGTCACTAAACAAGGCAGTTGGTAAGGGAGGACTACCTGTAGGTTGAAACAATGATTAACAGCTGTTCCTTTTACATGGAAAAATGGACACTGACACTGGTGAGACTTCTGCCAAGGTTACAGGGCCCTACTGCCTGAAATGACCTGATCAACTCAGCAAGGGGAGGGGATCAAGTTCTCCATTTCTGATTAAAGGATCAAACCTGTTTTAATATATGCAGATATTATATATAATGTTTCTTTCAATTTGCATATGTACATGTATGCAAATTTACTAAACATGCAATGTTATTAATTTTTATTTTAAACATCCATTTTGACACACATACCACAAAACATTATCTTAATGAAGAAACTAAACTCTCTATGAAGAAATTCATATAAATTTGAATCAGTCTGTCTAATATGGAAACCTCATATAATGCCCAATGAGAATTGCTAAATCATGTTATCTGGATGCTAATAGGTACTCTAAACTAATTTATTCAGAGGGCATCAGCTGAGAAATTATGCTCCATAACCTGTATCAGTAAAGACTCTTGGAAATTATCTTTTCTTACTCCGAAAACAACAAAAACACAATGCTGGTCACTTGCTTTACAACCCCACTTCCGTCACAAAATAGGCCAAACAGGCACAATATTTATATCAAACCACTGAATTATATATCTGGATGAAGCTATACAAGCTACTGAATCCAACTTCTGCTTAATACAAGAATTTGATTTTAAGAATCCTGAATGAAAGGCAGATCAGCCTTCACTGACATCTGATAATAGGAACTGAACATCTCATTAGGCAATTAGTTTGACTGTTAGGAGCATGGGTATCTACAGGAAGAAAGGGGATGGGACAAATGAAGAAATACGAATCACAACATTACAACTACAAGCTATGTCGGATGTACTTGTTTCTGACATTGCAATATAGGTACAAAAGGCCAGGGGCCACAATATATATTCCATCATTGTTTTCTCATCACAGTTTGCTCTATGCATCAGTGTCAGGAAATTCTTTCTGGTGGTCAATTAAATTCATCTCCTTTGACTTAAACCATGATTCCTCATCCCTAATATATAATATGAATATTGTATATTAAGAAAACAATCCCATAGCTATTTTTGATGGCTAATAGTAATTAATGGTATATCAAAAGATTTCAAAATGCTTAACATTCCAAATATATTCAGAAGTTCAAAACCATATTGGAGGCAAAAAGGTTATTTTACGATGTTAAAATATCCTCATACTAAAAAGAAACAATTTAAACTTATCTCATTTTGGGCAACGTACAGAATTAAAACCAGAAACAATAACACAATTTCTAAAATCAATATTCAGAAACCATATTGTAACACATTCCTATGGTCAAAAAGCCATTCTATCTCAAAACACTGAGACAACTATCAATCAGACAATGAGAGTTGCTTAACCTCCCAGTCCAAATGCCTGTGGGAACATCAGGGTCTTTTAATGCCTTACAAAAGGCCAACAGGACTGAAGCCTTTCCACAGGGAAGGCACAATTCTTAGGTCCCACAATATGACACCATTTAATAGAAGAGACTTGGAGCATGCCAACTCTGCCAGTCTTGGTGGGGTGAGCAAAGATGGTGACAGAAGGTCCTGTAAGTAACCTAATCCTGTGCCATGTAGGGCTTTATAGATTATAACCAGTACTGTGAATTTCTCCTAGATGCCTATTAGGAGCCAGTGCAATCTGCAAAGCAGAGTAGTTATACCTGCATATCATGAAGCAGCCCAAGTTGCCTTCAACCCTATATTCTGGACCAGTTGCAGCTGCTAAATGCTCTTCAAGGGCAGTCCTTTGTACAGCACTTGACACTAATTCAATTAGGAGGTGATTAAGGCATGAATAACTGTGAGTAGGCCTTCCAATCCACAAACAGGCACAATTAATGCATATGGCAAACCTGTGCAAGAGCCTTCCTAGCCACAGCTGACAGAAGTCCTGGATGACCCCCAAACTGTGTACCAACTCTATTTTGGGGAGGGCAACCCTACTCAGAGATCAACTCTCTGGATTTGAGAGGTTTCTAACCCATAGCCACTCAGTCTTGCTAGGATTGAGTGGAAGCCCCCACAGCACCCAGACACTGGGAAAGAACTGAAATAGCATCAACTGGTCAGCCAACAGCAGAGATATATGATATTTCACCTTGTGTCAAGAAATGATCTCCCCCAGTGGCTTCATGTAGATGTTGAATAGGATCAGGGAGAGAATAAAGCCCTGAGAAACCTCACAAAACAGAGGCCTCAGGCTCAATCTCTCTCCATCTAACAGAACGAACTGGCTCCAAAGAAATAAGAATCACCACAGTATCATACTTCCCATTCCCAAATCTCTGAGCCAGTCTGGAAAGATACCATGATTGACAGTACCAATGACCAAAGAGAGGTCAAAAGCCAGGATGGATGCATCACCCTCATCCTGAGCCTGTCACAATTCATCAACAAATGTAATCAATGCTGTTTCACTGCTGTAGCCAGGTCTGAATCCTGACTGAAAGGGGCCCAGATAATCTGCTTCCTCCAGGGCTCTCTGGAGCTGCAAGTTGACCACGTTTTTCAACAATCTTCCCTAAAAAGAGAAAGTTGGGGGCTAGATGAAAGTTGTCCAATTCTGTTGGGCCAAGTGATGGTGTCTTAGAGAGAGGGCAAATAAACCACTTCTTTCAAAGCAGAAACCACCCCTCCCACAAAGAGGCATTAACCAGTGATGGAGCCAAACATATATCACCTTATAGGAGGTCTTGACCATTGAGGAGGGACATGGATCCAAAACACATGGGGTCAAACTCACAGCTTCAAGGACCCTACCCATTTCATCAGGACTAACAAGTTCAAACTCTTCCCAGACAGCTAGGCAAGACCACACCTCAGGCATCTCCATAGGATCTGTACAGCTAGAGTTCAACTCTAAGCAAATCTGAATGACGTTATGCATCAGACACCTAGAATAATCCTCACAACAGTCCTGTGTTACCTCGGACCCTTCTTACCGAGAGGGATTGGGTCATCTTGATCAGTGTCACTGGCCAGCTCTCTGCAGATGCAATAAGAGTGGAAAAATAAAAACCAAATACAACAAGATAAGGATAACCTGGGTTGCATTTTTGTCACATTGACTCTCACCCAGGAAAAGATGACCTCACCCACCAACAACCCCCACCAAGAACCTCCTAACACATAAATCCCCAATCCAACACCTTACTGTTGCTAAGTACTTGAATAGCCAGTGTACGAAAATCTCAGCAGATCATCACCAAGGTCCAAAGTGGCAGATGAATGTGATAAGATGGCCACTGTTCCATATGGTTGGTCCAATGGATACATGTAGACCACCAGTCTACTCCTGCTACCACTGCCATTTCATGCCAACTCCAAGCACTAGCAACTATCCAGCAGTCCAATTTAGACCTTGTCCAGCCACCTGCTTTGTTGCTGTGCAAGCTGAAGATCCACTCTGAGAACAGAAGCTTGGTCATCGTTGTCTCTCCTATCATCTGAAGACAGAAAAGAAAGAAAGCTTCTGCTACTGCTGACGCCAGTCATATCTTCCAGGAGTATCTAACAAATGAGCAGCAGTGCTTCAGCGAAGAAGCCAA